CACCTTCCTGCAAAGTTTAGTTACAACTTTAATTAGACATTCCTCAAGGTTTTCCGGATCACTAGAAACTTCTTAGCAGGTGTGTTAGAACAGATTGGAGCTAAGCAGAATCGGACACCCTGTATTGCATGGTCATAATGACTGCCCAATTATTTCAAATAAAATTGAAAACATGATATGGCCTAGGCCAATTAGTAAATACTAGAAGCCTTATTTATTTAAATAAAAATATAGTGTGCATGTGCTGCATATGTTATTCTATAATAAATTAATTTTATATAATGAAATTCGAATTAATGGCACAATTAGGTATGGCACATACCAAATTGTTTTGGATCTTTTAAACACATTTTTCTGTGTTTGTTTGTAATATAAGAAAAAAGTGTCATGTCTTTGTATTTCTCTTGGTTAATTTGTCTCCATGTAGAGTTTCTTCCGAAAGCATGCTCCGAATGATAAGGGGCCATACGGCATCAGCTCTGAAGTCATGGACACATATGTTAAAAGCTGTGGTGAGCTTCAGTTTGTGAATCCATTAATACTTTATTTATTCAGTACTTTAAAAATCATCATTTACTTGTACTAAATAAATATATACTTTTCAGCGGGCTATTGTGTCATCACATACATCCTAGGGGTTGGAGACAGACATCTAGACAACTTGCTTCTCACAAAGACTGGTACACTCCATAAGCGCACCACAATTTTTAATGACTTGTAAGCACTGAAAAGAAAAAAAAAACTGATTGGATATGCTGATCTGTCTCTCTGGCTTGCAGGGAAGCTGTTTCATATTGATTTTGGATATATTTTGGGTCGGGACCCTAAACCCCTGCCACCCCCCATGAAGCTGAGCAAGGAGATGGTGGAGGGGATGGGGGGCATGCAGAGTGAACAATACCAGGAGTTCAGGAAACAGTGCTACACTGCCTTTCTGCACCTGCGCAGGTGAGTTACAAATGGAAGACCTACACTAACATTCAAAAGTTGAACTTTTTGAAAGAAATGAATACATTCAGCAGTGATGCATTAAATTGATCAAAAGTGTCAGTCAGTATTGATAATAATCAGAATGATACTTGAGCACTAAATAAGCATATTAGAAGAACTGAAATGAAGGTTTATGTCACACAAAATACTGGAGTAATGGCTGCTGAAAATTCAGCTTTGCCATCATAGGAATGTTACATTTTAAAATATATTAGAGAACAGTTCTAATAGAGAACAGTTATTTTAAGTTGTAATAATATTTCACAATATTACTCTTTACTGTATTTTTGATCAAACATAACAGACTTTTTTCAAAAACAATAAAATGTCCTACTGACCCCAAACTTTTGAAAGATAGTGTACTTCATTTATGTAGTATATCAGTAGACTAAATCATAGAAATTAAACTCTTTTTTTTTTCTCCCTTCATATGCAGATACTCAAATCTCATCCTGAATCTGTTCTCTCTGATGGTGGATGCAAATATTCCAGACATTGCACTGGAGCCTGACAAAACTGTAAAAAAAGTATGTGTGGTCCTCACATTTTGTCTCCAAATCTTCAGAGGTAAAATCAGCTTGGCAGTGAAATAACCTGTTCATTCTTTGCTCGCCCACTGCAGGTTCAGGACAAGTTTCGATTGGACCTCTCAGATGAAGAGGCGGTGCATTATATGCAAAGTCTGATTGATGAGAGCGTAGGTGCTTTGTTTGCTGCAGTGGTTGAACAGATACACAAATTTGCACAGGTGTATTTTCTCATATTTTCACTTTTTGCCCTTTTTGAAAAATCGGCATGGAAAATGGCAAAGCCTGTTGTCTTTAATGATAAATTTCAGAATGTTAATAAAAATAAGCTCTGTTGCTGTTTGCCAGTTGCCTGTTGGCCAGTGCAGCTAAATTCTGGATTACACTACACAACTTTTGCACAGATTTTTGCCCCAGTTTGCAGTCTTGATGCTAGTTGCCGTAATTGAGAGTCAGTCTTCAGATTTTGGTCATTCAGAGTTCACAGATTTCACAGAAAATTGCATTGTATGTGATGGACAGACTGTTTTTTTTTTTAACATTGTTATTTTGTAACATTTTTTTTTAGGATATTTTGAGCTGATTTAAGAATACATTTAATTTGTCACATATCTCCTAGCAATGAGGCACACTTTTCTGCTCAGATTTTAAAAGTAGTGTAGTGTATTCCAGACTTAACGTTCACACTTCTGTTTATCGGCTATTTTTATTTACCAGCACAGGAAAACCAACATGGCAGAACATTAATTGTCTACTTTTACTAATGTTTCATGTTTGAAATCAACAGTATTGGCGCAGATGAGGTGATGTCATGGAGGCTGATTCTCACATCATCAGTGAGCAACAGATAGATGGACTGCAGCAACAAATGAATGATGGAGAAGAGAAATGGACACGTGCCAAGGCCACACTAGTGACATCATGTTTTCACCATTCATGCACTAGGTCTTGACTCTGCTGAGTATCTTTGTATATATAAAATTGTAATAAAATTAACTGTATATGTAAAATAAAGACAGCCAAATAAAGATTCCAACTTTAGCATTTGTGTTTACGGTTTAGTATTCAATTTTCATTATATTCACTTTAAAGTTCAAACACTCATATAAAACATTTATAGTCTGTGTTAGTAGAATTCAGTTTGGTGTTTTGGTATGTTTTACAATAATAGTTAAAGAAAATGAATCATCCGTTAAATACGTAAATGAAACCCTTGACTAGGCTCAGTTATTTGTTTAGGTGTGTCCTTCTATGACAATGAGTGGTTCTGATACATATGGTGATTTTAAAGGTTTCTCTGGATGAGAATGTGCACGTTTCCTTTTGTGCAGTGTGAGTCAGTTATTGAGTCACAACATCCTATGAGAAGTATTCTCTATGGCACAGCTTGTTTATAGAAATCTGCCAATGGTTTAGAAATAGACTAAAGTTTTTTGAAGTTCAACATTATTATACTTTTCTTGGACTCTTTAGGTTCTATGGATTAAATCTTGCACCCATCCATCTCAGTGGATTTTGTCTAAACATAAATCCACTGAGCAACTCTAATGCAAGTTTGTCTTTAAAAAAAAATAAAAAATAATTACAAGCCTGAACAGATATATATTATATATATCATTAAGTGTTTAAAAACCAAAAATCATTCAATTAATTAATACAGTTATGAAGCAAGATACCAAAAAATATATATAGTGATGAAGAATATACATGATATTTGGTAAGAAATTTAAGTACAGGTTTAGCTTGCGTTTCTTTTTTTGGGGGGGGGGGGGGTTTAAAAAAAAAAAAAAAAAAAAACGACAACTCTAGCTAATAGAAAAAATGATAATTAAAGAATAGCTAGCTAATAGTTAATACAAAGCTACTAATATTAATTTATTTTATAATTTGTTGTTATTATTACTATTATTATTATTATTATTGTGATTTGTCAAAGAGCTAATAAAAACTGTTAACTATAATATCAACGTTATTATTATTGTTAAATATTACTATTATTATTAATAATAATACATGTTTTTTTTCTCCAAAGCTCAAGGACACACCATAAATATGCAAACCAACATTGAACAGAACGTAAACAAAAAATGTTAGCAAGGAAAGAAGCAATACATACACATTCTCACAAAGGAGGATATAGGAAGAAAGCATGCATACTTCTATACAAAGCAACTACACAAAAGCAACATACGTCCTACGATACATTTTCCAGAACCTAGAGTCTCACGAGTTTCCTGGGAGCATTTCCATAACTGTTCCAGAAATTGTGCACCTTAGCGTGGTTAACTGTGAGACATGGTCCGCAGAAAATGAGACAAAATAGGGCAACTCCGAGTCAGAAGTAAAAAAAAATATGAATCAAGCCATACAGAAAGCATACCTTTAACTCACAGTTACCCAAAAATAACACTGCTCCTCATTGGGACAGCGTAAGGATTTATAGTGCTCCGAGTCACTGAACTGTAGGGGGGATCCCAAACAAACCACAAAGGGCAGTAATAATAACTGCTAGATTCAGGTCAGCGACATTTGACCATTGATGTACACATGCATGAGGAACGTGCATGACGTGACACTGTATTTATTCCCTTACAGTAAAGGGAATACGTGCTGAACTTAATCTGACCCGACCTAAACCACCAAGACTAAGATGGAGGATACAGTGGGTACGGAAAGTATTCAGACCCCCTTAAATTTTTCACTCTTTGTTATATTGCAGCCATTTGCTAAAATCATTTAAGTTAATTTTTTTTTCCTCATTAATGTACACACAGCACCCCATATTGACAGAAAAACACAGAATCGTTGACATTTTTGCAGATTTATTAAAAAAGAAAAACTGAAATATCACATGGTCCTAAGTATTCAGACCCTTTGCTCAGTATTTAGTAGAAGCACCCTTTTGATCGAATACAGCCATGAGTCTTTTTGGGAAAGATGCAACAAGTTTTTCACACCTGGATTTGGGGATCCTCTGCCATTCCTCCTTGCAGATCCTCTCCAGTTCTGTCAGGTTGGATGGTAAACGTTGGTGGACAGCCATTTTTAGGTCTCTCCAGAGATGCTCAATTGGGTTTAAGTCAGGGCTCTGGCTGGGCCATTCAAGAACAGTCACAGAGTTGTTGTGAAGCCACTCCTTCGTTATTTTAGCTGTGTGCTTAGGGTCATTGTCTTGTTGGAAGGTAAACCTTCGGCCCAGTCTGAGGTCCTATTTAAGGGGGTCTGAATACTTTCCGTACCCACTGTATATAATATTAAAGTCAGCATGAAATTTAAAATCACCCTTTCTATATTCTAAAGGCACGTTATAGGTCTTCTTGTGAATGAATCATTCATATGTGCTTTCCTTCTTAAAAATGACAATTATTTTGATTCAAAATGTCATAAAAGGATCTTCAGGTGAAAATGGAAACAACTCTGATGATGTTGGACTTGCAAACTCCATTTCCAAACAACAACCGATAAACAGAATTAAGTCCTTGTCTTTACTTTTCATTAAGCATTTACACTCGGATGTACATCACAATACAGAAGAAAAGATCTGTCGCTACTTCCATTCATTGCAACTTTAGCAATGACAATAGTTAGTGGGCGAAAGGGCAGAATCACACTATCACAAATTAACAGCACCAAAAAAGCGGGTATTAAAAATTGTACCCAAAGCAATTCCATATCTCGAGTCTAAAAAACGTTGTATTCAACCTTTTGGAAAAAAACATCAAGAGTTTCAGTTTGCTTGGATGTTTCCATTGGTCTCACATTCAGTTTTCCCCATATGACATCTTCAGACTGCTCTGGGTGTTCTGTTGACGTCTCGTCCTGTTGAGTACGTTTCACTCGCACTGAGCTCAGAGGGATGTTTGGAGTCTCCTCACACTGATTCTGATGTGGACATGCCTGCTCTGCCTCTAGAACTGGATGTGATGATAACAGACGACACTCGTCGTGTTGGACTTTTGTGCTCAACTCTTCAGACCCCACAGATTCCTCAATGCAGTCTGGATTGTGCACGATGGGGCTTGTGTAATAGCCGTTGCCCAGGCTTTGGGTGTTGTAGTAAGATGACTGGTTGTCCATGAGTGTGAAGTCAGAGAAGGATACAACAGAAATGTGGTCACCCTCAGAGCTCTCGTTGTGTGGTGCAACCTTACTGGAGTCAATGAAAGTCTCATTCTGAAGTTCCAGGTCTCGAAGTAAAGCCTGAAAGCACACAACATGGTTTGTATTTTAAATGTAAAACACCTAAGATGGTCATTAAAAATTATACTTGGTTCATAAATGCACTGAATCCAGTTAAAATGGTTTGTGACGGATTAAACAAACAAAAAATGCTTCTGCATTAGAAGGTTTTGGAGAGCTCCTTCACTGCTTTTATTGGTACTAAGAATGACTAAAATGTTTTGCAATATACAGCTAGTGGAGCTTCCTTTACTGTATATCATACAAAAGTAAAAGTACAATTTGATTGGATGGCTGTTGTTACAAGAGTGCTTATATGGACCCTTATCAGACTGATGACACATTTCTGCATTAAATAACATTGTAAATCTCTATATTTTTTTCCTATTGAGGAAAGTCATGAAAATGCAATAGCTGATTATTTCTTTTAGTCTTGGAGCAAATGGGAACACAAAAATAATTTTCTATGGGCTTCCGTGTACCTCTGTAGAGCTGTGGTTCTCTACCTTTTTGACTTGATTTCTGCCTGTAATAATGACAAAGCTGCTTTTTTTAACAACAAACTGGGAGTAGTGCTGTCTCAAATTAATTGATTTGGTGATTACTTATGTTTCAAGAATGGTTTTGTTTTATATAAAAACAATAGTTATTAATATATACTTTAATATATTAAACCTAACCCTAACCCTGTTCCCTGGTGCAGGACCACTGCTATAGATCTTTTAATGGGAACCGGTTTCATCTTTTTAAAATATAAAAATACTCCTTTTTGTTGTTTAATTAAAATGTAAATTACTCAATATTAACTTATAAAAGCAAAAACACACTTGCAACCGTGCTCATGTAAGTTCAGTACCAAAGATCTGGGCAGCGGACGTTCAGAAGAGGAACACTTTCTCCAGACCAGAATAAATACTAGGCCAAGAACGATGAGAACAGCACACACAATTATGACGATGAGGCTTTCTGAAGAACACACAAACACACACATGAGTGCGGGCAACCAATGCACACATGTGCAAACAAATAAATGTGTCTTGAATCATTACACCACAAAATAAGTAAAAAACGCTTTGTGTAAAAATAATGCAGACCGAGCTTTGCTGGTATGTAAACACACTGCGGGAGGCTCGGGGGAGAAGAGGTCAGTACACCCTCAGCTGTGAAGTTGGCCACAGCACAGTACACTTGCCCTGGTGTCAGAAAACCAAATTCCACCTTGAATGGGTTTTCAAGCATCACTTCAGCGGTGTATGCCTTTAAGAAAAATGAATAAAAAAATAAAACAATGGAACTCTTAATTTTTAATCTAAATGTAAACACTTCTACTGTAAAGAAATAAATGAACAAACAGAGGTTAAAGGGGAAAAATGGGGTACAGGGATGTAAAGATGAAAAGAGTTGTGCACCTGTCTGTCTGAGAGGTTCTGTTCGTTGTATAGCGTGACTGTGGCCCAGAGACTTTTAAACTCAGTTAGGGGACAGTAGCATCCCATCTCATTCTCTTCCACATAATCATCATCTTCCAATGTGCAGCTTATGGATGGAGCACAAGGAAAATTTACCGTCACCCAGAGACTCCCATTGGCCATGGAGTTGGTTATGGAGGGCGGGGTGAATTTGGCAGCAGCTAGCATAAAAAAAAATTTATAAATAAAAAAAAAAAGTAAAAAGAACAATCTTACTTTACACCTTTTTCATAATAATAATAAAATAATTATATAATTAACATAATACAATAATATAGTCAATCATAATAACAATTCACATTTGAACAAATTCTTGTCCAATTATATTAACATCATAGACAGATATAAGATGTTTTAAAACACATTCTTACATATTATGAGTGAATGCATTTCTGTAGTTTAACCTAAACTTTTCAAGGTTTTTGCAATATTCCTTATTTTTGACCTTTATTTATCAAATATGTGAAACTTGGTTTGAGGTTTAATACTGACGATCAGTTATAGGGGTGCAATCCCGAGTTTCATTCACCCAGAGAAGTTCAGATGTCAGTCGGATGAAGTTGTAGATGTTTATGTTTGGAAAGACACGTGACAGATCACACCTTTGCCGAGAAATTTGGATGCAGTCTGAAACATTTTCCCATGATGTACTGCAACACAAACACACAATATCAAGAACACTTTATAACAATGCCAAGTACATTCTTTATGGTGATCATCTGGCCATTCATCAACTGCAAAACTGTGTGAAACAAACAGACATTTCTGACTTTCATTTTCTTAAAAAATGTGACTCATCTACTGGGCATGATTTTTGAAAAAAAGAAAGCAAGTAAAGAGCAAATTGAGCTTAAGCGCTTGTGAGTCATTTTCTTTTTCAAGTGTAATTCAGAGGAAACCAACAGCGTGCCTGAAGTGATAACAACAGCGTATCTGCTCTGGGGCGATGAGCCTGGATTGTTTCTCACTGTGGTTTACTGCTAAACCACCCAGTTTCACCTCTCACCTCTGTGCTCTGCTCCACACTCTCATTTCTCCCCTAAACAACATCTTCCATATCATTCATAGTTACTCATGTGTATCTAAACTCCTTTTGTGTGTAGATGACACTCACCCGTGTGTCTTGCTCAAGACAGTGTAAGTCGTTTTAGGGTTGGCATCAGGGCAATCCCATTCAAGATGGCATCCGAAATTGATCGTATGCACTCTGATGTCACAGACAGAGACTACAGACTCTGAACGAAACATATGAAAACAAGAACATGTTGCACCTGTGTGTCACAGACATGATCTGAGAACATACAGTGCACCAGATGAAAGACAGAAAAAAAGCAAAAAATTCACACGTAAAATGTACTCACCTACATTCAACATCAACAGAAAGAAACATAAGTTTAGGAGAGCGACAGGCATCCCCACAACAGCATGCTATTTTATGAAAATAAATAAATAAATACAAATAAATAGCTTATCCAAATGCCTTGGCTGATAATATCTCTACAAAGCTGACTTGACAAAAATATTAACTATTTATAATGAGGTTAAAAAAATACACTTTACCTTAAACAAAAGAATGGAGAGATTTCATTAGCTGTTACTTTCAGTGGGTGAACAGAAAAAGTGAGAAGAGGACAGCTGTCACAGCATAACTTATGCCACAAAACCACACAGGGACTGAACCCACTCACAGAAACAGAACTGGAGAAGAGAACAAAAGCTCTCTCTAGAGGAAATGGTATCAGAAATATTATTAGATTATAGCAATTCATAAATATATTATTATTAAATATAATTCAGATTTATTTTACAGCTACACATACAGTGGAGATCAGAATTAGAGAACAATCTATAAATACTTGATTTTTTTTCTGAAATATTGATAATCGTCACTGCTCAAAATATGAAGGAATATTAGCTGTAGGTTATACCACTGTTATACTAACATTTTTACAAAATACCAAGGGATTTCAACAAAAGTCTTTATTTTGTGGAAAACACAGAGTAGAATTAGAGAACAGTAATCATTGTAGCACAGAAGAAGATTACAACTAAAATGTTGGAAGGTTACAGCTGTCAGAAATTAGTAGGAAGTGTAGAGGCCCCTGCTTTGAGTGACTTCAGCACATCTGCAGCTGCAGGATATCACTAGTTTCTCACACTGCGCTGGTCTTGATCCACTCTCTTCCATGGTTCACTAACTGTAGTGGGTTTCTTACCCATAACTTTGTTGCCAAGGATTCTCCAGAGATTTTCAGTTGGGTTCAGATCTCTGGGCCGGCCGTTTCATTATTTCATTTCAATGTTGTTAGCTTCAAGGAACTGCTTTACCTGTTTTGCAGTGTGATGGGGACATTGTCTTGCATGAAAAATTGCAGGCTGATTGGAAGATGCTTGCAGGGAAGGTACCGCATGTTGCTGAAGGAGGTTCCGATAAACATTTGCATTCACCCTGCCATGTAGCTGTAAAGTGGCCCAACTCCTGCTGCAGAAAACTTACCCCAAACCTTGACCTGACACTTCCTCCTCCACCTTTCACTGACGACTTTACGCCCTCGGGGTTCAGTCTTTTCCCAGTTTGATGCTGAACATGTTTCCCATCTGACCCAAATAAATTAGCCTTGCTCTCATCACATTTTCAGTGTGCATTTTCAATCAACTGGCAAGCAATTCCAGCTGCAGTGTTGAGCCGATTCCCCACTGAGAATCTCCGTATTATCCGGTATTCTCGTGCATTTGTCTTACATAGACAATCAGCCTTTTTGGGGGACTTGAATGAATTATTGTCATTGTAAAGCTGCAATATTCTAGAAATCACCGATTTGGAATGACCAACTTCTCTTGCAATGGCTGAAAGGGGCAGCCCTTTGGTCTTTATCTGGACAACCTCCTGTTGCAGGGTTTCAGTCCCCTTACAGCGCACCGCCATCTTGCAATCTTAGTGAAAATTAGAGGAATGCTGCCAGTGAAATAGGGTTTGTCATAGAATTAAGAAAATTAGCACCAGGTGCCAGATTAACACCAATAACAAGGAGGTATCTGTAAGTGTTCTGTAATATTGATCAGAGTTCGCTTTCAAATATTTAATTTTTTTATGCTGTGCTTCAGAATACAATTAATTTATGAAATATGCTTAAACTGCCCTTCTACTCCTGTTATAACTTCAAATAGGACTAAACAGTGACCCTGAAATTCAGAAAATTGTAGGTTGTTTTCTAATTTCGATCTCCACTGTAAATATATAACTTATAGTTGTTCTAATCTACAAATGCTACTGTTCAAAAGTTTGGGGCAAGATTTTTAAATGAGTTTCAAAAGAAATCACTTATACTCACCTAAGCTGCATTTATTTGTTTAATTTGCAATTATCAGTCAATATCAATATCACATTATCAATGCTGAAAACATTTGTGCCGTTTAATATTTTTGTGGAAAACCTGATACATTCAGGATCGAAGCACATCAAGTCAAAAAATTATTTTCGGTGACTTGTCAGTCTTGACTGTCAGTTTTGTCAAGTTAATGAAATTAATACTTTTATTCCTTGCTAAAAAGAATAATTTGTAAATAAAAACTGACCCCAAATTTCTGAATGGTTTTCGACACACACACACACACACACACACACACACACACACATATACATATATATATATATAAACAGAATAAACATTGCATACAGTACCCCATGAAGGCTTTGTATCCGTTATACCATTTGACACATATAATGTAAAATGTAGAGTTACTATATTACAGATAGTGGGACTCATATCTTCCATAAACACAACAAAGCCTGTTAGTACTTTGTCCATGTCATTTAATGTCATTAATAAAATAATATATTATTTTTTTCCCATTCTCAAAGTATTTTCATAAATGTTCAAATAACTGTAAAAATAACAAAAATATTGACAACACATGTCTTTAGAAAGGCATTAAAACCTATGGGAGTGTTCAAGTTTAGAGGACTAGGACATGAGATCAGAATACTAAATGATCCACTTAGTCTAAACAGTAATACATAGCGTTTTCTTTCTCTCCAGAATGACATATTTCAGCTTGATTTTAGTTTGAGTGCATTAAGCAGTAGCATCCACTTTAAAGGTAGCGCTTCACCTGTACAGCATGCATCTTTTATGTCTGTGTGCTAGGCAGAGCAATATTTGGCTCTGTAGGCGAGGGTGGCAAAGCTTTGCACAGAAGCCTTTTCCTGGCCGCATCGCCATTCAAGTTCTTATAAGGGGTTTGTCGAGGTCCACGTGTGCAAATGGAGGGAAAACTCATCCCTGCGAGGCAGCAACCCGGACAGGCTATGACCTCCTCTTGTTCCGGAGGCATAAGAGGGGTTGTGGCACCATTGGAGTTAATAACCCCCCATCCCAGAGATCGATTTATAGGGATGGTGCCGTTGTTGTTATCCATGTCTAGTAAAGGAGGTAATGAGGGCGGCTCGTTAGAGACCGGGGAGCTCCAGCCATTGGAGAAAGTTTTGATTGAAGTAGCGACAGCGCTATCTAGTGTATCAGGAGAGTTGGTGCAGTCCTTGGGATCCTCAATGCTTTCATCTAATCGGGTTGGAGACATCAACTCTAGATCTAATGGAAGACCAGAGACATCAGCTACAGCTTCTTGACTGTTCATTTCAAGATTCTTCTCCTTGTCGTCCTGCTTAGGGTCTGAACGCCTAATGCTGTCACCGGGTGTATCAAAAACCTCACTAATATTAGAGAGATCAGCAATACTCTCGTTGCTCTTAGCCAACACACTGTCCCTTCCCATGTCCAACAAATTTCCATTGACTGGATTTATATCTGTGTCCATAACACTTTGATTATTTTCACATTTCTCATTGTCAGCAGTACCACGTAGAGACTGGATGTCTTCTGGCCTGCAGGGCAGTGATTGGCTGCGTCTGTGGAAATGGAGAGGGCCTTTGTCACAGGAGACAGGGCTGCTGGGGTCAGGGTGCGGAGGGAGAGCAAAGGTGAGGGAAATGACAGACTTGCTGGGGGTGTCAAAGAGCTTGATGCGGCCGCCGTTGAGGTCTTGGCGCTGGGAGAAGGGGTTGACGCGCATCGGTGTGGTCCCAGTCAGGAAAGGAGACGGAGGTAGGAGCACATCGGACTTGCTGCGACAGAGACGTGGGTCAGCGGGAATGTTTAGAGAATGTTTTCGACTTAAAGGTGTTGTGTTTGAGGATGACCGGTCTGGAAACGAAGAAACATTTTTTACTAATTTAAGGCTCGGTTTGTTTTTTAATGCCATGCAAGCTTCTTTGGTCATTTTCAAGGCAAAAACTATACTTGAATTATTAAAATTTAAAACAGAAACTAAAAGATATTTAAAGGGATGGTTAAAAAAATTTTAAAAAATTCTGTCACAATTTACTCACCCTCATGTCGTTTCCAAACCCTTTGGTTAATCTTCCCAAAAAAAAAAATCACGATATTTTGAATAAAACCTGTGAGGTTTCTGTCCCTCAATTGATAGATAAAAGCCTAAATTAAATCGGTTCATCATAAAAAGCAATAGCATCTCTTCACAAGGCTTCACAAGATTAAATTAGGAGGGACAGAAACCTATTAAAAATATTAAAAAAATATCTTAATTTGTGTTTAGAAGATTAACCAAACGCTTAAACTTGGTTTGGTTTGGAATAACATGAGGGTGAGTAATGATGATAGAATTTTCATTTTTGGGTGACCTATTCCTTTAAGACCAATAAACAACTTTATTTACAGCAAACTTAAATGTGTTTTAAATTACGAACATATGCCATGATTTGAAAATTAGTACTGAAAAGATTTATTTAAATTAATTTGCATTATATATGCATTGCAAATACATTTTTTTTGTTTTTTTTGCTGACTCACCCTGTACATCAGGCTCCATACATTCACTCTTCTCTCGATCACTCACTATCTTCTCCAGCTCTGCTACCACCTCTGTGAATGAGGGCCGACTGTCTGGGATCATCTGGGAGGGAAAAAACACAGAATTTTTAAATGTAAACACTTTTGCCCGCATTTTTGTGAAGTCATACTAATCGATTAGAATAATACATTTGTATCTTGGCAGAATTAGAAGCCCTGTTAAGGAAAGGCTCCTAGGTCAACAAAAAAAAAAAAAACACTGCACATGTAAGCATATGTGTCAGCATGTGAGATTTATAGAGGAGGATGAATGTTAATGTGTGATCTTTCATGACAGTAGATAAGAGGTCTTACACTGCAGCAGATGAATGTGACTTTGAAGAAATGAGGTGGACAGTCTCCAACCATCTGCCGAAAGGCCTCCACATCAAGACCAAAGTCCTGAAACACAATCACCACACAACCCTAACTTAAAAAAAAAATGCTACAAAGCTGATACAAAGCTGTATGTTACTACTGTGAAGAGTACAAGCTGTACTGTAGAAATAAACCATCCTGATAATGATAGGTTTAGTGTTTGGTTGTAAACAGTAATTAAACAATGATTTGTATTTAAAAGCATGACTTCACTGGCAGTGCTGTAATCTCACATGGAGTAAACTATGACCCATATTCATAAACCGAGTGAGTACATGAGATTGTTACAGGCCTAATATTCATAGACCAGGTGGAAGGGTG